AGAGAGAGAGAGAGAGAGAGAGAGAGAGAGAGAGAGAGAGAGAGAGAGAGAGAGAGAGAGAGAGAGTGGTGCTTGCAACTTTGACTTTGTCCAGAACGGGTCCCTTGCAGTCAGGACCTCTTCTTTTTTTTCTATTTTGTTTCGCTGGGAACTACAGCTAATGAAACCGGGCAACATTTCTTTGGTGGGTCGGGGAATCATCCGCTTACACAACTTGCTGAATTAATCACCAGCAACCCCAGCCACCCTCCCCCTCCTCCCAACCTCGATCCCAGCCATGGCTCACGACCTCAACGATGATTACGATTGAGATCGCAACGATAATTATGGTCGCAATCCCAGCAATCATTACAGTCACACCGATGATGATTATGATCGCAACGATGATGACCTTGATGATGACTACAATAATCCAACCGTATACCGTTTTCCCCGGTCTTCCCCCGACAATAAGGCAAGGCCATCATAGCAGTATCCGGCCGGAAGATGGCAGTAAATGCAGCTATAATCATGACCATTATATTACACTATGTTTGCAGGAAGGCAAGGCGGTCAATACAGCTATAATCATTACCAAAGTTTGACTGTTCTTTGTGTTCGACTTTTCTTTTGTGTTCGACTTTTCTTTTGTGTTTGACTTTTCTTTGTGTTTGACTTTTCTGTGTTTGCCTTGGGTCAAAGTTTCTTCTCATCAGATCCTCTCTCCTCCTCATCCTTCCTGGGACAAAATCATGCGCAAAAAGAAAAAAAAAAAGAAAAAAAAGTTTAAAGACATTAAATGCAGGCTTTTTGGAGGGGCTGCATTTGTGTGTGTAAGGCTTTTCCGAGGCTGCATCTGTGTAATGAGAGTTTTGTTATCTTTTCAAGTGTAAGGCTTTTTTCTATTGAGGGGGGGGCTCTGCATTTGCACCACAGCAGGCTGTCTCTGTCAGTCACAGGCAAGGAATAGTGAAAACAGTGGCCATAGGGCCTCGCTCCACTACTCACCACATGCACAAAGGACAAAAACCATGGCGGTTTATCTTCTGCGAAGATACGAGTCCTTGGCATGCCCGTATGGGCCCCCACTGCAAGCACTGAGCCCGCCCTAAGTGAAGGCGGGCCCTGTACCTCAAAGAGGGGCCCGAATACTGCAAAATTTGCCAGCCCTGTTGGGCGCCAGACAGTTGCCACGCTCCAGTTGGTTACAGGGCACCGCATGTGTGACCAAGGCCGTGAGCCTTTCTAGGCTCTTCCAGATAGCAACGCGGAAGGAGGCCTACCGGCCAATCCGATTGCTGCAAACAGTTGGAGCCACGTTGGGGGTGAGCCTTACAGCCGAACGGGGCCCAGGGCCCAATTGGTTCGCGACCTGGGCGTGTACAGCAAGAGCCTGGAAGCCGACATGTCACACAGCAGCCGTGGACCAATGAAAATGCAGCTGCGTTGTCACACACTGGCCACGAGCAAATCACAACGTGGCCAACACTCGGAATCTCGTGGCATACCTGGCCGTGCCTAACTGGATCGGGCCCAGGGCAGTATCTGAACTGGCCCTGGGGCGCAGAGTCGCAGACACTTTGGTCCGATCGGAAGCTACTAGAAACTCCCACGAGCAGGACCCGGCAGACAGAAGCTGCCAGCACTTTCCATAAAGGAAAGTGCCTGCTTCATGGTGAGGCATTCTGGCCGTGTGCTTGCTGGCGGCAGTGCTGCTGGTTTGAGCGCTGGAGGTCGCTGGTAGGCCAGGGGCTGGAAGCGGCGCACACGGGGGCAGGAGGGAAGGTGGGCGCTGCTGGACAGCCATAGCCGAGCATTGGGTAAGGAGAAGCCAGTGGAGGTGGTGGTGGTCTTCGTGGAGAGAGAGGAAGAGAGAGTGCTGTGGGTGAGGCAAGGGTGAGCATTGAGAGGGCGAGTGAGAGAGGTGATGTGAGAGCGCGTACCTCGTCCTGGCGGCAGTCTGATGGGTCGACATCTGCATGTACCCTGGTTGCTGCTGCTGACGTCAACAGGTTGCTTCGTCATGATAGTAGGCTAGCGTAGTTGCTGTACGATTGTAGTCCGGGCGCTGAGCGCCGGTAGGGGAAAGAGCTTCGAGTTCATTGTTGATGGTGCCGAGAGAAGGCTTTCCGGTCAGCTCGCGACTCTCTGGCTCACAATGTGATGTTGAAATTTGGATTTTGACATTTCGCTCTTGCTCATTTCCCTTGCACTTTCCCATGTTCTAGCGGAAGATTCATTCTCATTTTGCACATTTGGTGAGTAGTGGAGCGAGACCCATAACCCCGCTTGTCGTACATTTGCTTCAACAGATAAACATTACATCTCCGCATGCACAGTTCTCAGTAGAAACACGTGAAACATCACTTTGCATTTCATATTCTTGAAGTTTTTTGTAACTGCCACGACACCTTTATTTTTCTTTATTTTTCCATTTTTCTAATTGCCACATCACTTATTCGTTTCTTATTTTTTCAATTACGGAAAATTACCTCATCAGTTTTTTTTTTTGCTTTTTTTTTTGCTTTTTTTTTCCAACTGGCATACCAGTTTTCACTGGCTTCTAGAGAAGCTGTAAAATGACCCTGAGAGGAAGGAGGCTTCAATATTTCCAGGTGTGTGTTTGCAGAGATCAACCTTCCACCATCATACCACGGCATGTTGATTTGGAAGTTGGACAGCATTCTTTAAAACGACACATGCCAAAAAGCCCACAGCCAGAAATGCTCATGGAAGAAATCCAAGACAATGTCATGCAAAGGCCAAGAAGCGCAGAAGAAGAATGAAGGACAAGAGAAGTACAAATAGAGAACTGAAAAAGGGGGGGGAGGGGGGGGGGAAACGGATGGTGAAAGACTGTTCCGTTGGACTTATACCGACTGAGCAGGAGGGTGAGCCCTCTACAATCTGTGGAATCCCCATAGGG